GAAGGCAAGCGATGTCGCGGGGGAGGGGGACGGCGACGACGCATTGGTGAACAGGCTGCGCCAGCGGAATACACGGGAAGGAATGGAGGCGGCGGCGAAGCTGTGGGTGGACGACCTCTGCTTCGGGAACGAGAGGGAGGGATTTACGATCGTGAAGTTAATCGCGGAGGCGCGCGGTTATCTTGTGGATGTGGCGCGGGGAGAGCAGCCTCTGGCCATTCGTCGCAGCATCGTCTTGCCTCACAACAGCATCCCGCAGCACAAGATCACGGACGATTCGGAGTTAAACGTTGCGAAGGAAAGGGCGCTGAAGGTTCAGGGGATCGCTTTGCGAGTGATACACGGGTAGGTCTTCAACTCTCAGAACAGGCAAAGGGGGTACCACGCGGCGTACCAGTACGCACTCAACCACGCCGCCACCGACATCGCTCGCGCGATGTGGATGGGGGAGGACTGGCGTCATTGCGTGAGTCCGATGGTCGTCCACCACACGCTCGACTTGGATATGAAGCTGCCTTTGTGGTTCGTGGGCGCCAACGTCAAAGACAGGCACGAGGACGACGGCTTGGCGGCTTATCAGGAGGCGAGCATCCAGGGACTGGTGGGGGCTTTCACGAGCGCCGTGATCATTGCGGAGGCGACGGACGGCGGTCGTGTGTCGCACGAAAGGTTGAAGACCATGGCCAACGCGATGCGGATGATGCTCGCGGCGACCATGTGGCTCATGCGGATGGCGGGTGGCGATCATCGTGCGCATTACGACGCCTGGGTCTTCATCCAACTCACGGCGAAGCCGATGCTCGTCGTATCCATGCATCGCCGCTTTGACGCGCGTCGGCACATCGTGCAAGCTGCAATCGTAATCACGGACAAGTTGGCGAGTCCCCCCATCACTTTGATCGACCCTCCAATGTATGTCCCCGACTGGGCGTCCATCGGTGTGAAGTTCTCACACGACGCCACGCTGTCTTCCCCGATGGAGGCGAAGCAGGTGGATTGGCTGGGCACAGGCCCCCTGGAAGACGAAGACGATGGGAAAGGCGACGTATAGGGAAGCGGGGGGGGTCGATGACGCCTTTTAGTCGTCTATGTAGTTTTTCCTCGCGTGATGCTGCT